TTTTTATGCTTACATTCCACTTTTTTATTCTCTACTTTATTTTTTGACGAATTTTGATTCACTTTGCTGCACTCCAAATTATTTTTTAAATTTACATTCATCTTTTTTTCTTCTTCAAGCATATTTGCGCTACCTGGAAAATAATGTATTGTATTTTTATTATTAAGAATAATTATCCAAGATGTATGTAAAAGTTATGAGAAACATAATCAACGTATTATATACTTTTGGCTTGCTCTTTCGTGCTTTTCGATTTTTTCTGTATTTTTTTGCGTTGAACATTTTTCTCTGACTTATTTTCTGAATTTCCCGTTTTTGAATTTTTATTTTCTGTCGTTGATTCTTCCTTTATTACCTTCTTTTTTCTTATTTTAGATGCTTCTTTTTTAGAAGTGCTTATTTGCAGATCTTTTTCAGTGATATTTGCTTTGTCCTGCACGACTTTTTTAATTTTTTTATCTGAATTGACATTCTTCTTGGCGGTGGTTTTTGAACATTTTGTAGTTTCTTTTTTTATACTATCGGTATTACGTGAGAGTTCCTGCGGAATTATTTCCCCCAAATTATTTTTCACCTTTACATTTGGTGTTTCCTCTTCTTCAAGAATATTTATGCTATCTGAAAAATAACGTATTTTTGTTATCAAAAATAATCATTCAAATATGTGAAAATTGTGAGAAATATTAATGTTTTATTTACTTTTGGCTTGCTCTTTCGTGTTCTTCGATTTTTTCTGTATCTCTTTGCACTGAATATTTTTCTCTGATTTATTTTTCGAATTTTTCGTTTCTGGTTTTTTATTTTCTGCCATTGATTCTTTCTTTTTTACCGTCTTTTTTACTTTTTTAGGAGTACTTGTGTGTAGATTTTTTTCTGTTATATTCGTTATATTCGTTATGTCCTGTAAGATCTTTATCTTAGTCATTTTTTTATTTGAATCGGCATTTTCCTTGACGTTGGCTTCTGAAATTTTTTGGATTTCTTCTTTTACATCATCAGTATCAGATGAGAGTTTTTGCGAAGTTATTTCCATGTCGCACCGACTTTGCCTTTTTAACGTTTTGTTCTTATTTACTGTAGTATTTGTTTCAATGATGTTGCTGTTAGTACTTGATGAAGTCCCAGGTAAATCCGTTGACAAGTCTTTTATTGGAGACTTCCTTGAGCCTTTTGTAGATCTCGGAGTTTTCTTCGCAGGAGTATCACCTATTCATTTATTTTATTAACTTTATCTTATTAACTACTTATTTTAATTAAATTAATATCTTTTGATTATATTATTATAAAGGAAGATGTGTGTGTGTTATCTCTAATGGATTTTTATAATTATTCTTATTCTATATATATATTACAAAGCATTCTAAATACTTATAATTATACTATTATAATTATACTATCAGATTACGAGAAAATTGATTTAAAATAAATTGAAAAATGATTTATAATGAGAAATCGAACAAATTTTTAAAAATAATAATAAAATCTTATTTTTTTACCTTTAATAAGCTTTAAGAGTCCCTCTTTAGCTTCAATAGTGTTCTTTTGTGTAATTGTTTCGACGAAATCATCTAGCATAGTCTGAATACAACCAGCCTCGCTATTTTTAAATTTTTCAATATTTTTCCAAGGTTCGGATTGTAAAACATGGTCAATATCAAGCGAACCATCTCCACCAATGAATGACAATGCAGATCTTCTTCGCGTATCTTTATTGTTACGACTTTTCGTATCACGATTCATATTTGGCGATATTATTCTATTAAGAAATATTATAAGCGTCAAAATCATATAATTATATTATAATATAATCGAGAAGCAACACGTATTTTGTAGCTTCTTTCTATAATTACTTAATTTTGATATATTATTATCTTATTGGTGGAGAATTTAAAATAAAATTGTATACTAATTTGTATTTTTATAATATTAACAGAAGTGAAAATCACATATAATATAACTTACATGAATCACAAAGATTTTTCTTTTGTTTCGTTCCGAGATTTATTTTCTTGAGATTTCTTTTCTTACAACTTATTTGAATAGTAAACCGTTGCTTCACTGTCTAGAATATAATTTTAATTAATCTTAATATTTTTAGGGAAATTAAAAAATAGCTAAACTATTTCAATTTTCCATTAAAATATTAAGTATAAGTGAAATAAAATTTTATATATACATGCTATTCAAATAATTATGTGAAAAGTTAAGTCAATTTCAACAAGAATTATGAAAAGCGTATAACGTCGACGAAAGACATTTCAGAACTATTTGAATTGTGTTTATATAGATTTACACCTTCTCAGAAATTCTTGCCGAAGGTCGGCATTCTTCCTTTGTATCTACGCTATTATTTATTTTCTGCTTGACATACGAATAATAAAAATAATGTTTCTAGAATAACATATATAAAGAGTATACATAAAAATTATTTTTGCTCTCTAAGAATCTTATATAATAATTATAGTAGTTACACAGCATATTGTTACATTTGACTACTTATTTACTATTTAATAATATTTAATAGATACCCATTAAAATAATTTTATATACAATATAATAAATAATCTCATGACATAATACAATAACATAATATTTTAAGGGAGAAATTATACTAATCTTTTTATGAAGGAATCTCTTAACTTCAATGTATCGTCTCATACAAGATGATTATAATAGTTAATGTAATTATATCAAACGTCGCATGTGTGAGTGAATCCGATATATTTTATTTGCGTCATGATTCCTGTTTTTACGTCGCAATTTCTTTATAACGTAATTTTCTTATGTTGCTATTACGATATGGCATTGTACAGGCACGCGTAGGCTTGGAGAACGTCAGAAAAACCATTATCGAGCGTGCTCTCTTGACGGAACGGAATAGAATTCAATGACGTCATCATGCTCGCGCACGGACCTTACACAGCTAGACCTATAATATGTCGATCGAGTGGAATAGGGCTTCATGACGTCATACGACCTTTGATGAACTCACTTGGTTGCAAGTGATGTCACAGGGTATTCCCTCGTCACATCGGTCGTAGCGTCATTCACTGCGCTGCAGCTTTATCCGTTTTAAGTATCGAGGGAAATGAAGCAGGTAGAGAAAGCTGACACCTTTTATGAAGTAAAGATAATTTTCTCGACTATATAGTATTTATTTAAAAAAAACGGATAAGCTCGGTCGTTATACTCCGACGGGACACTTTCTGTTTTCTTTTAATTATTAATATCCGTTAGAGAGTAAAGGTATTGGTCTATAGGATAAAGGCATTGATTAGCTGTATCTCAGTTTTATGAACAATATTCATCTTTGCATAAAAGTAGACAGTTGAAACTTGGATGACATAAATTATTCCGTTCATGCAATCGAAGATTGAAGCTATGAATTGTGTCATTATAAAAATAGACTTTATAAAGTAACAAAAGTATTTAAAAAAAAAAAGATATCCAGCACTCACTTGAGCATTTTTTAGAATATCTGATCTTGTAAAAAAAATCTTTAAACAGCACAGTAGAGGAATAAAACGTTGCAGTAATTTCGAGTAGCCAAGTAATTTGCGAATCGTGACGTGTGTACATTGACTGTTGGATAAAACTCATTGGACAATTTTCAATAAATAAATGTCGCTTTAGACTACTACAAAACTCACTCTTGTCTTGGAAGATAATATTTATGTACGCGGAAATGTCAGCGCGCCAATTGGTAACAATCAGTGCGTTTCAACAATTTTGTGAAATTGCTTTTTTATCATGGTTTACAAAATTACAATGATTTAATAAGTTTAAGAGTGATTATTAACGATAGCAATTAGTAAGAGTTTTAACTTCAAACGTTAATGACGTTGTTTATTTCGCTCCATGAAAAAAAATATTTTTAAAAAACGAAAATAAATATTTCCTTTTTTCTTAACTTTATATTTTTTTTACAGAACAGTATTTGCGGATACGTTATACATCAATTTAACGTTATTTGATTATTCCTATTAGGTAATTTCCGGGAATGAAATTTCGAGAGTAATTTGAAGATATTAGATTTTATATATTTTAGTCCACTAAATAAATAAATTTGTGAAAGAGAAGGAACACATCATTTTCATGTGTTTGCGTTGATCTAAATTTGTCAAAAGTTAAGGGGAATAAGACTGACTCTTCTATAATAATTATAATTATGTTAACAAAGCTAATCCAGTGGATGTTCTGCAATTAAATAATAATTATTGGATATTGTATGTTCAGAATATTATTACCGCGTTGCTAGTGTTATAATGTTATAATCTATGGATTTATATTTATAATTCATGCATATGTTTATTACAATGTCGGAACAACGAATTTTCCAAGACAGGTGGGGTATATCGCATATTGCTCGGACGTTAACAATGTTCAAGGAATATTGATTTCTGTCCGAAAATTCAAGGCTTTTCATATCGTTGGCACCGCTTTGGCTTATTTTTGCTCTCTCGCGAAAACATGGAATTATATACATAGGTAGATTGATTTTACAAACAACTCATATGTGAAAGATCATCTAAAGATTCTAAAGCTTTGCAAATAATAATAGTAATCACAATTAATCGTGATAACAATGAAACCAATTTTTAAATATTCGATTATGATTAATCTATCTATAGAAATATAAGAAAGATTTTTCAAAACATTAATATATGCAAAAAGATGCGCCGATGCTACATTAAGAAATATTAGATATATTTCATCTAACGTTATATAAAAAGAAAAAAAATTTGTTTAATTTTTTACGATTAAAACTCGTATCACTAGATAATCATCTTTCTACGTAAAAAAAAAAATCTGAAAGAACTAGAAATCTACGCCATTGCAAATAGAAGCGGAGGTTGAGAGTAATAATTTTAATAGAAAGAAAAGAAAAAATAATTCAAAAAGAAATTTTGCCTCCGGGGGATCGCCATCGTTTGACTCACGAAAATAAAACGTCGATTCATTGCGGTAAGACCGGTGCCCACACGCATGTAACATACACATATACTCATATAAAAGTGTCATCGTGGCAGCCTCGCGGATAGTTGGGCGCTGCGCATCGAGCGAACATGATCGAGGTAAGAGGAAATCAGAAATGCTGTGACAAGAAATTAAAAAAAAAACGCGTAACGTGTTTTCCGTGATAGTGACGCGTGATAATTCATATATCAGCTGGTTAATCGCCTCATTCTTCTCGAGAAAAGTGAAAATTTCTTCGTCAAAATTCTCATTGTCTTAATTTTTCTCGGATCGAATGTGAGATTTGACGAAATCAACGGGTTATTCATGGTAGTTATGCAAGATTTATGATATAAAAAGTGTTGTGTGTTCATCTTGATAATTGATTTGATTAAAATGCTAGAATGCTTGACTAAATGCTTTAGCATTAAATTACTTTTGACCTTTGTCGTGATGACGTAACTGATTATATCATAATGATCCGTTACTTCATTTCGAAGTTATTATTAAGTTTTTATGTAGGGATATTATTTACTCTCTTTCTCTTAATGAAATTTTAAGAAAGTATAAAGGGCTCTTCTTTTATATTAAATCATAAAAAGTCAAAATTTAACCAGAGTCTGAATGTGGATATAGACGCATACCTTTATAACAATTTGTACATTTACTTTATTTAAATTATTGTTAAACTTTTTTTTTTAAGAAATATTCTCGAGAAGAGAACGTTTAGCAATCCTGGCCTTTAGTTTTTAATTAGTTATTTTTGCTTCACTATTAGTAACAAGATTTGTAATTGGATTTTTCATGATTAAAATTACGTGAATGGTTAACGTGATTGTGTAGGCGAAGGTTTTCCGTTTGCCTAATTTTAACTATTGAAATTTAATTATAAATCTGTCGCTGAAGGCAAAGGAGAAGTTAATCATAAAGATAATTGACAATGTACGATTAGATCATTAATAATTAATAATGTTGAAAAATATTTTTAATATTTTTAAAAAAGATTGTATTACGATAAAGATGCTTGAAGAAATTGATGATTAATTAAGAAAAATTTAGATAAAATTATTTGTAAAATATTATTAAAATATTCATTTCGGAGAATTTGGTTGTTTTATTGCAAATGATCTTATCGACAAAATATTTACGATATATAAATTGAAAATATAAATTAAAAATAAAAAAAATTGAATTCTTTCAAATGTTATTTTAATTTTCATTTTAGAGAGTTTAACTTAAAAACAAAATAAGCTGAATGTTATTTACAACTTATTATGTTAAATGAATATATAAAAATGCAAATAAAATTGTATTAATATTTTTATAAAGATTAAAGAAACGTATTAAATTGTAGATATAATATAAATTGTAGACAGTGAAAAAATTGTATGTGTGAAATGGACATTAAATGTCCATTCTTGGACATTAAAATTAGCAATTGATTTTACCAAGATTTGAGCACCTTTTTCAACAATCTGTTCTCGCAATTAGGGAAAATCTTTTTCATCCAATACAAAAATAACTTTGTCTTATTCGAAGAATTTCTATAGTCAATCGCGAGAAAGTAGGTTATCCTTTAACCTGGTCGCGATTTGGGTCAAGTGAAGTGGAGCCCGAGATCGCGTCTATATGCAAGGGTGTGGGAGATCTCATACGTATTTCTATCTATCTACCTGCAAGTGTCGCGTCAAATCGTCGTTCGCTTTAAATTTTCATGGAAGATTCCCTGACGAATTCACTCTCCAAGTGATTTCCACCGCACTGTTGGTGAAATCGCGCAGTTTTATGTATTTCCGCGACGCAATAAAAAGTAATAAATTAGCAGTTACGTCGCCAAGCGAGACATTTATCTCCGCGTAGATCCCCCGGTGACTTTTGAATTAATTTTACGTAAATCCCGTGTATATGCTACGTTAAAAAAATAAATTTTGCATGTGTAATTTTTTTGCGGTAGAACTTCCTGCTTTTTTTCGCGCACCATTAACTGAGCGAGGGCAGTATAAACAATTTTGAAATCTAGATATTTTGCGTTTATTTAATATCTTATTATAAAATAAGATTTTTTAAACTTAAATTTATGTTAGTTTAAATGAACAATATAATTTTGTTACTTAATTCCATTATAGACGATAAAATTGCCAAAAGCGTTTTATTTTTTATCAATTGCAATTTAAAAAATATTGGAATTTTAAAATTTATATAAAGAATTGGGATTTCTGTGTTCAACAAACTTGCAATCAAATACGATAAAGAACGCCAAGACTGGTCAAATTTTTTGGATGTTACAAATAATACCTTATATATTCTTTTATTAAATCAATTTATTTCATATATAATTGCGAGCCGTTAACATTCAATTTCAACACAATCATTCTGAAACGCTAATCCCCCCTAAATTAAATTAGAAAGAAAGAAAGTAAGATCATCTGGAGTCTGAGACACCAGATCGCAATTATATCTGAAATAAATTAATTTAATAAAAGAATATATTGTATAAGGTACTATATTTGTAACATTTGATGACAAATTTGACCAGTCTTGGCGCTCTTTATCGTATTTGATGTATTCACATATAATGTATTCACGGTCGTGCTTAAAATTCTTAATATGCTTGCAATTAAAATTAATCCTCAACTATAGGAATAGGTTATTTGGACTTGAAGCAAAAATTTTTGACGGTTGTACAATTTGTAGGATATTATACAAAGTCGTAAATTGTAGGTTAAAAAATTTGGAACCTTTCTCTATCAACTCATAAAGTGAAGGTTCACTTATAATTGCTTTATGTATGTACTTCAAATGACACTTTAAAATTTAGGGGTAGTTTTTATAGTTGTTGTTAAGAGTGATTCTTTTAGGATATTTATTTATTTTAATTAATAACAGAAAGCTTATGCTTATTTACATAATTGTTTTCTACGCTATGAAAATCTCGCATAACATACATGCACCAATGCAACTGCGTTGCATTCAAATGCTTTTGATGCAGTTTCTGGTACTTTTCCTTGGTGTTTGCGGGGCACTGGCGGCTCCTCATGCGCCCCACGTGAGTCACGATCCTCATCTGGACAATAATGCGGAAGTGATCTACGGACAACTTCCCGGTACCGAGAATCTAAACGAAAAGGCACTTCCAATATCTCACTTATTCGCCACAGAGCCGAATAATCTGCCAGCCACAGAGAGGAATAATCTAGCGGAGAAAGCTCAAGTACATCAACGACTTCCCGGGACGGTAAACCTGACAGAAAAGCGAATCCCTGATATCATCCTGAAGAGATTATCGCAAGTGCTTGATGTCAAATAAAAAGATGAAAATCGGGATCTAAGATGTAATACTTTATTCGCGATAATATTAAAAATATATTCGAATATCATCGCCATTAATATTACATATAAATTTCATGAATTTTTTTATTAAATGGGATTAAAAAAGTGTAAAGCACATTATCAATATTGAAAATATTTTATTGAAAAAAGAAGGTAAGATATTTATCCGATACCTGGTAACTACGTTATGATTTCATAACGATTATTATATCATTGTGCGTATGCATTACATTAATAATGAAGAGAATTTTAAATATTCTAAGAGAATACAAAATTATCAAAATGAAGATTTAATACATTCTACTGCTCGTATGATTTTTAGCATCCTACTGAAATTAATAGGATAATCAATCATTTTAGAAGATTTATTAATAAATGGGTAAATAATTTACAACAATTTTGTTGAAATAACACTTCGTGTTATACCTACACTGCTTCGTCGAAGATGTACCTACATTCATAATTATCACAATAAATTATTATATCACGTATTTATACTATAAAGTAAATAATTCTTACTATGTCGTAACAATGTATTTATAAAAGTGATAAAACAATTCGCGGATAAAACCGCAGAAGTAAATGTGCAATTTATTTTTCTCTTTCCTTTTGTCTCCTCTTTTATTATTATTATTTCTCAGAATTATTATTATGCACTTGCATATAATAATTCTTTAGACAGAAAAATGTTTAGTATAATTTGGCACGAGAAATTAAAAAATAAATTTCTTTGACAATATAATTATAATTTATTTTTGCATCATTTATGCTCTGTATTATTTTGTTGATAGCAATATTGTCAATTTGTAAAACAGATTTTACAATATACTTTAATGTTGGCGCAAATATAATAATATAATTATCTTTAGAATATTACGATAATGAAACACGGTAAATTACTTTACAATCGGATATACAATAAGGAACAAATCAAATATTGATTATGTCAACAAATAACTTATTCTATTATCCTTCTGTTATTATATGGAATCTCTATTCTCTAGTTCTAATTTGTGCTAAGCAAAAATCAAATAAAAATAAAATTAATTAAGAGCAAATAAATGGATCTCAAATTAAAATTAGTTTATTATAAATTCAGAGTCTCATGATGAATAGTAATTAGTTTTTCGACGATATATAATATGGAACGTTTCGATTTAATTTATATAATCTTCCTGAGTCTACAATTAAATTTATTATAATAAATAAAAAAGATAACTAAAATCCGCATCAAACTTAGTAAAACATTAGTAAAACGATGTAGAAAGTCAATACAATATTTTATGGAAATTAATCATAAAGTTCATGTTTTGCGAACATAACATTTGTCGGTAAAGATGAAAATGCTATTTTAAACGTTAATTTATAACTAAATTGAAATTGAGATTAGGTAGTATTATGTATCGTGATTGTATTATATATTTATAATTTTATTTATATTATATATTTAAATTATGATTCCAAGATATATCAACAGACAGTAATAGTATCGACAGTCAATATACAATTCTCCTCGGATTCTCAGCGAAAAGGAGATGCCGGCAGTGTTTGTATATTGATTTTAGAATTTACTATTTACGTTATTCGAAAGATAACGCCACAAACAAAATTTAGTGGAGTAATCTAAAATAAAAATTGAAAAGATAAAAGCATATCTAAAATATCTGCAAATTTAAACAAAAGATTTCCATTTAATTTAAATTTGTATCATCTTCAATGAATATAAGAGACGAGAGTGTTTATTAGATCTTTATGTTTATAATTGTGTATATTACGAAGATTTCGAATCCATACTGCAATGAAGGATAGAATGTTTTTTGTAGAAAATATATTATTTAATTTATTTCTTGTCTAAATAATTTGTATTGATTTAGAGATATTTAATTATTTAAGTAGAATTATTATTTTTAATTATGACATTTATTTCTTTTACTTTTCTCTTTTTGCATCTATTAAAAAAATGAGCATATTTTATATTTATACAAGTCAATGTGTTACGCTCTTTTAAGATTGACGTGCCACTCTTCGGCTTTTGTTATTTCGTACTTGCTGGACATTATTTTGTCGGTGAATTGCACCAAGTCATGGCAGTCCTTCGTACGTGTTAGAACTTTAATCCAGTCGGCGTTTGGATTTAATACACGCAACCGATTAACAGCGAGATTACATAGGGCTCTACGTGCAGTCGTCGAGCTTATGGTAGCTTTAAACTAAAATTAGCTGAACTTCGCGTATCTTCGATACCGCGCCTTATTCCAGCAGCGCCTCATGTTGATCGTCGAGCGCGAGGATAATAGGATTTCAGCTCACTCGAAAAACTTGACTTAACCGCGCCTATCTATAAAATCTGCAACCTAGTAATACATATTAAAGTGAATCTCTGATATTCCTTGAAAATAGCGATTAAAAACTAATCTGTTGAGAAAATAATCCGTTGAACTACTTTAAGCTTAACTACATTAATCTATAGGAATTACGTATTGATAAAGAAAGTCTAGTAAGTCTTTTATCAAGCATTCTGAATCTGATGTCAAGTTATAATTTCTGAATTGATCACACTACAAAAGAGTACTTGTTTTTCTCCGAAATGCGATAGTACATTTTTCAAAGATTTTTTTCGCGCTGAACACGATGTCGTCAGAATTTGATTAGCATGTCAGGATTTTTAATAAATTGAGGTGATTTTAGTCTATTTCATCCCCGATTTACTAAAAATCCTGCACAAATTTTGACGACAACATTCTGTTTAACACAAACAAATGTCCAGGATATGTATTAGGCTATTTTAAAGAGAAAAAAGTAATTTTTATTGAACTGTATAATTATATACAGTATAGAAATAAATCTAATATTCAAACAGTCATTACTTGATAAAAACAAATTGTACAGTCATAAACCAAAATTTATTTGAAAGCTCTGAAGTGATATTTGGAGATATTGCAGACTTTAATTAAAAACAAACTTTCTGTTGTAAAAAAACATTAAAAAGATCAAAAACGCTATTTTTTAATCCTTTCACCTAAATTTACTTAAAATTCTGATGTGCTACGTCAATTTTACTAAGGAGAACGTGAAAAAAATCTTTAGAAAATGTACTTTGAAGAGAATTTGTCTGTTGAACAGTTATGTGATCCATTTAAAATAGTCAATATCAATTCTAAAGATTTCATCTAGAATAGGTTCTTTTTTTTTTTAAACAGTATGTCTTTCTTAAACAAATATATTTATATAATAGTATAGATTGGAGATTTATTTCCAAATTGTTTAAAATAGCTACATCCAATAGCTACACGCTATCTTGTTTACAAAGTTCTTCTATCGCAATTACATATTTCGATCAAGTATGTGTTGTATCTCGAAGCAATGCAGTGAAGATTGGCGAACCATTTCCGTGAGGCTTTATCTCCTCTTCGTGCACGCGCTATTACGTGCTATTATAGCGCGACATCTTCACGAAGTGTGAAATCTAATATTCACGCCGCACACAGGTTGTTGCTTCGAGCGCGTGCTTCTGTCCTCTCGCGTTCATATTCGTGTGTGTACACCGACACGCTCTGTTCTGCTCGAGACACACGCGATAAGTGAGTCAGAAAGAGAGAGAGAGGGAGGGGGAGGGAGAGAGAGAGAGAAAGAGAAGGGGAGAGAGAGGGGGAGAGAGAGAGAGAGAGCGAGAGCGAGAGAGAGAGAGAGAGCGAGAGCGAGAGAGAGAGAGAGAGCGAGAGCGAGAGAGAGAGAGAGAGCGAGAGAGAGAGAGAGAGGGTGGGGGGAGGGAGAAAGAGAGAAAGCGCATGCATTCACTCCTACGACCGCTAATCTTAACGGAAGGGGATGGTGTTTGCATGCACGGTTAGGGATTGCGCCGACGGGTTACGGTTTCGGGGGCGAGTCAAAGACACCAACCACACTAGTGCAACAGTAATGCCCCCCGGTCAGGTGGGTTAACCGGCTTCTAACTTTGACCGACGCTGCCTGTATTCGCGAAATCGGTCGATTAAAGCCACCCACACACGTACGCACGCAAAATCCATACAATGCACTGTGCATTCAAATACGATAATTGTACTGTTAAGCAGATAGAGATCCAAAGATTTACAGATCAACATTGTGATGCCCGTGAGAAATCATACTTCAATCTAACGTTAATGTATCTAACATTAATAATAATAATTTTGAATTCTTAATGAAATAACATAAATACTTAATGAAATAGAATAAATAAGACACACAAAAAGAGAGAAAATAAGGATAGAGATTACATATTTAAATAAAATTATTTTATAATCAAATGGATTTTATAATATATAATGGATATAGATTATTTATACTTCCGTACGAATAAAAAAGTTCAAGTAATTTATTCGTCTTTTGAAAAGGCTGATTACAAGTCTATATATTTGTCGAAGAAATCGTCGATAGCATTAAAGAGTATTGTGGTAACGAAAGGGCATTACTCGCTTTCAGAGTATCGGATTGCGATTCGGCATGTAGTGCTATAGTTAGATGGACAGAAACACTATCGTTGATATCGTTGCTTGGAAACAAAGCTAACTGCTTTACATTTCTCCATTGTATAACAATAGACATAGAATGTTGTTTAATATATCGTGCTTTTTTATTTTAATACCCTTATCGAAATCCAATTTACTAGTTGAATTGAAAGTTATTTATTTTGAGTATTAAAAGCACTAAATATAACAAATATTCAAAATATTAAAAGCATTGTTATATTTAATTTTTTAACACTTAAAATATTAATTAATCGTTACTTTCAGTAGATATTAAATTTTTTATGACAATTGCCATCTAATCACGGAAAAAAAATTACACAAAGAAATCCTTACGTTAAGAAATAATAAATTAAAGTTTTTTAAGGAATTTCAAGTAATACATTGAAATTTTTAATTTAAACTGAAATAATAGAATTTTTACATATTAAACATTTACTATTTTATATAGTTAAAATATAATTATATATAGTATTGCAAGATACGGTTTGAAAGGTATTTAGATATAACATATTTTGTGGGAAAAGTATTTATTTATGTAT